CCTGAGTGTGAGAGCCCTGAGTGTGTCAGCCCTGAGTGTGTCAGCCCTGAGTGTGTCAGCCCTGAGTGTGAGCCCTGAGTATGTGAGCCCTGAGTGTGTGAGCCCTGAGTGTGAGCCCTGAGTGTGAGAGCCCTGAGTGTGTGAGTCCTGAGTGTGAGCCCTGAGTGTGTGAGTCCTGAGTGTGAGCCCTGAGTGTGTGAGCCCTGAGTGTGTGAGTCCTGAGTGTGTGAGCCCTGAGTGTGAGAGCCCTGAGTGTGAGCCCTGTGTGTGTGAGCCCTGAGTGTGAGAGCCCTGAGTGTGTGAGCCCTGAGTGTGAGCCCTGTGTGTGTGAGCCCTGAGTGTGAGAGCCCTGAGTGTGTGAGCCCTGAGTGTGTGAATTCTAAAGAAACTGGGCCTTGCATGTGATTACTGGTACAAGGCACCAGTAAGGGATGTAAGGGGCAGATGGGTACATGGATGGGTTGGAAGAAAGGACTTCTGTATTAGTCAGGACAAAAGTGGTTCTTGTCTGAGCCAGTGTATCCCCACAGTGTATCTGGAGGTGCCATCAAAGACCATTCCTGGTGCTGAGCGCACTAGGGTCTGCTTGGGAAGACCCTCCCAGTCTGATGGCTGTGCACAGTACGCCAGGAACTGTACACGTGGAGTGGGTGACGCAGACCAGGGTACCTGGTGACACTCAGTGGTAGCTGTTGACTCAAGCTGGGACCCATGCTCCTCACTCAGCTCTGCCCTCGTGTGGTGTTACAGGCGTCTGGAGCTCTATTCATGAGGATTTCTATTCATGTAGGTTTTCTCTAGAACAGTCAGCGGTTCTCAGCCTTCCTAATGCTGTGACTCTTTAACACAGCTCCTCATGTTGTGCTGACCCCCAACCATAAAGTTATTTTCATTGCTACTTCATAACTGTGATTTCGGTAGTTATGAGTCGCAATGTAAATATCCAATACGCAGCATGAACTTAGGTGACCCCTGTGAAAGGGTCATGTGACCTCAAAGGTTGAGAACCTCTGCTCTAGCGCCTCATACTTCACACCGAAGCTCAACCCCAAGACTTGTGTGACTTTTCCATCGTAAAACATTACTCGAAACAAGACAAATACATCACCCAGATGTTCAGCTATGCCCAAAGCGGCAAGTAACAACTAAAGGCACTCTCAACAAATAGGGGTTTCCTTCCCAACCTGGAAGGGGTGGCCTGCAGCCTGGAGGCGATGATGTTGCTGCCGCAGCCACCCTCCTGTCCAGGGTCTCTTCAGGGCTCGAGTGATCCTAGGCATCCACAGCTGGAGTGGGGTATAAAAGAGCTGGGACCAGGCACGAGCAGCCACATCTGTCCCTCGGATCACAACAGCAAAAGGTTCCCCAGGAACCTCCGAGTTTGCTCTTGTGCTGTGCTGGTGAGACGGTGCAGGACCAGCCCTGACTGTAAGAGACAGAGTCACTCAAGCCTTTAGAGTGGATGTGAGCAAATACGGATGCTCGGGATGAGAGCATCAATCATTTGCCTTTTCCCCCTTCCTTCCACGCGTTTGTTATATAAAACATTTTGAGGGCTGGAGATGGTTAGTGGGTAGGAGCCCTTTCTGCTCTTGAAGAGGACCTGGTTCTTCCCCCAGTACCCACATGGTGACTCACAGACATCTGTTCACTCCAGTTCCCTCCAGGGCATCCAATGTCTTCTGGCCTCTGCAAGAACCAGCCGTGCTTATGTGGTGCAGACACCCGTGCAAGCAAAACACCCCTTTGTATTGATTCCTCCATGTGCTCAAGGAGTCTTTCCATAATTCTCCAAGACTACAGGTTGCTCAGCTCCAGCCAGAGACAGGCAGTCACTGTCATGGGGGGGGGGTCCCACAGACTGCCTCTGTGCTCTCCAGACCGACTGGTAAGACCTGTGCATGCCTCTCCTGCACCGAATGTAGGCCTGACTTCTGAGGAAAGAGGAAGTACAGAAACAGGAAGCTGACTTAAGGACGAGTCAGACATAGGAAGAGGAAAACATAGACACATGCTTGCTTACAGATGATTTGGTTTGAGAGGACAACCTTAAAACTTAAACACTTGGCCTGGTGTGGCGGCTCGCACCTGTAACCTCAGCACTCTGAAGGCGAAGGCGAAAGACTGTGACACCTCAGTTACTTACGTATCAAGGGCAGCCTGGCTACATGAGGACCCTCCGCCCGCCCTGTCCCAAAACTGCAGTGTGTGGCTATGTGAGGACCCTCCGCCCGCCCTGTCCCAAAACTGCAGTGAGAGTGACTAATTTTGCTGGGAAGTAAATTTTAAAACAGTAAACCTGAGAAAGTATCTTTTAAAGAACACAGCAAAGGAAGGCTGCATTTCAGAGGATTTCTCAGTTTTTACAGTCATTGCTACGGAGACAGGACCACACACACACACACACGCACATGCGCGCACACACAGTCGTATGTACACACACATGGTCACATGTGCGCGCACACACACGCTCACATGTGCACGCACACACACACAGGCGCGCGCGCGCGCACACACACACACACACACACACACACATACACACACGCGCACACACTGAAAAGGGACTTGGAATTTTACTGTGTTAGGGCTGTGGGTCTGCAAGCAGGACACCCCGCACATCTACACACACAGACACCAGTCTTCTTCATGAGCTCTAGTACCCAAGAAACAAGTGGAAACAAGAGGTCCTGGTTAGTTCTAACAAGACTTGAAGTCGAGTCATTTGACATAGGATAGAAACTAAATCCAGCTCCGTCGGCAACAAAAGACAGGCCTGTGTCTAGTCTGCAGCTGTGCCGGCCAGGGCACTGGGGCATTTCCCTCACTAATTAATTTTCTTTTCAATTTGATGATCATCTGCAGGGTGAAAAAAAATGCTTACCAGCCTGCAGTTCTAATAGTAGTTTATTCAGTCACACAGACATAGCTTTACTCATCTTTCTCCAAAGTTGTTACTCATTCCTATGGACACCAGCCCTTTATTAATCCCCCCACCTTCCTGTTTTGTCACCCCCAGTCCCCAGGTTTTAATTACAGTTTGCATGTGGCACAAATCAATTCAGTGCTCTGCTCAGTTGTCAGACGCTGGGACATTTTCCTTCCACCCGGCTTTTGGGAAATAGTTACATACTAACTTGAACGTTCACAGAAAATGCTTCTTAAACGTAATACCATGTGGTAATAGTATGGCGCGTTCTGTTATTCTTAGCACAAAAGCTCTGTAAAACAGAGAACAAATAACAACAGGAAAGCAAGACACCGATATCCAACAGACCAACACAATGAAATTCCCCAAAATACTTGTTTAATGAGACTCTGTATTTTAAATGGGATCTCAGTGTTTAATTCAGGCTGTCCTGGAGGGCCATGTGGTCTGCAAGGCCCAGTCAGCCTGTTTCCGGATTACTTCAAAGTTTTGTTTTTGTTTTGGCAGTGCTTGGGATAGAACCATGCTTTTTTATTTGGTTAAAGAACTAAAAAAAATGCCAGGCAGAGGTGGCACACACCTTTATTTAATCCCAGCACCCGGGAGGCAGAGGGAGACGGATCTCTATGAAGTTTGAGGCCAGCCTGGTCTACAGAGAGTTCCAGTACAGCCAAGGCTACATAGGGAAACCCTGTCTTGGAAAATCAAAACAAAAAACAAACAAAATCCTAAAAACCTTCACCAAAAAGGCTAGTAGATATTAAAAATTACCTCTCTCTGTGAAGAAAAATCGAAGATAAAATTTGTTGCCACAATGTAGGGAAACACGTGACTCTTTGTTGTAAGCCGCTTTCTCACAGAAAGTGTATGTATAGAAAAGGTTATTTCAAGAGGAGAGAGTCTACTCTCATGAGGTCATCAAGGGCTGCTTTTAATGGTGAAATGTCAGGGTAATCAAACACACAGCGGCCTGTTTGCTGGAGACCATGTATTTTTGCCTGCATCTCTATTAAAATATTTCTCTGAAACCCTACACAACTAGCTAAATGTTAGCTAGTTTGTTTGTCTGTTTTTTTTTTTTTTTTTGTCACATCTTTCTTATTCCTCGCCAAGTTTTGGCCTAGAATTTGGCTGGCTTTTGCTCTAAGTTTGCACATGAAAATGAAAGGCATAATTCAATCCAGTTTCCAATGACCCCCCCCCCCCCCAGCATGTGGAATGCAGGGAGCGCTGTAAGGGAGGCCATATTAGAAATCAGGAAGATGATGATGCATTCAGGCAAGCTGGAAGAGCAGTTACCAAGGTAAGGAGACCTGCCTATTCCATGCAGAGCAGGTACTCCACTGCTGGGATCCCTGCTGGCCCTATAGGCCTCCCCCCCCCCCCAGCCATTTAATTGAGGGGTTTTGTGTTTTAGCTCCATAAACAGCGGCTGGAGCTCACTGAAAGCTCAAAGCCAGAAGACCAATGAGCCTGCGATTCCTACCAATGCCGGCTGCCTATAACCGCAGATGCTCACTGTGGCACAGACAGTCTGAGTTGTTGCTGGCCTTGCCTCAAGCAGTCCTGACCCAGTTTTCCGAGCATCAGGGATTAGAGGCACATAAGCCGTGCCCTGTTTAACAGGGAAAGCTTTCTTCTACTCGTTCTTCTACTAAAAGAGCGATTCTTTCATAGCTGTGGTTTATTTTATGAGCATGTCTATGAGAGTTTGCTTCCAATAAACGTCAATTCTACAATGAAACAATAAAAGAAGCCAAGGATAGGTGTGGTGGCAGGGTCAAGCTGATCTCTTTGAGTTCAAAGCCAGCTTGGTCAGGTAGAGAATTCCAGACAGGCCAGGGTTACAGAGTTAGGTCCTGTCACAAAACAACTACCACTACCCAAATGATAAGCTAAAATAACCCCCTTTCTAATTTAAATTGACTCCACGTCTGTGGCTGTAGCTCAATGGTGGTGTTTGTCAGCAAGTGCAAGACTCTGGATTCAATCTCCTACACTGTACACAGTAACATAGAGTAACCCTCACAGTAGGAAACCATGCATGAGAGGGCAGAAGTCCTACGTGCCCTTCCTGGGGAGAGCGTGAACGCGACCGGATGCCAGGGCGCGCCTGTAGCGCTGGAGCGCACACGCTTTGCCATTCCTAGGGAACCGAACTTCCCTGTACTTTAGTCAGTAGGATGAAACCATCTTACATGTAGCTCCTATCATTTCTTTGAAGGTGCTGGGGTTTGAGCCCAGGGTCTGATGCATGCTTGGCAAACACTGAGTGACAGCTGCAGCTTCATGAAGACTTGGAAAAGAAGCGTGGACCACTTTGGTTTTAGCAAATCCAATTGATGGGAGGCAGTCATCTTTGAGAAGAAAACACCTGTAGCCTTTCCACGGACTTAGGCATTTGAGGTCTCTAGTCTTTCTTTTCCGTGAGTGCTCAGGGCCGCTGGACCAGCTTACTCTTGCTCACTTCCTGTTCGCTGAGTTTCAGGTGGGTGTAGGTGAGGATGCCGAACAGTGTACACAAGATGCCGAGGCCCTGGCTAACGGACAGTGGGTCCTTAAACAAGATGTATCCTCCGCACAGGGTGATGCAGAACTTCAAGTGTCCGAACATGTTGTAGCTGAGTGCTAAGGTAAGGAGACAAAGGAGCAACAAGCCAGCTGTGAGGGTCACACAGGGGCACACTAGCAGCGTAAACACGGCAAAGGCTACCTGTGGCTGGACAGAACTTCATACAACAGGGACTCAACAGCCACTAGACATTTAAAGAATAGACCGGGCAGTGGTGGTGCACACCTTTAATCCCAGTGAGTTCGAGGCCAGCCTGGTCTACACAGCGAATTCCAGGACAGGCTCCAAAGCAATACAGAGAAACCCTGTCTCAAAAAAACAAAAAACAGAGAGAGAGAGAGAGAGAGAGAGAGAGAGAACCTGTCTGTCTCAAAAAAGTAACCTCCCCCCAAAAGGAACAGACACTTTGGTGACGAGCTGGGCCAATCAGGCATGGTTTTAGCAGTTTACAGATATGAAAATGGTGACGTTGCATTAAAAACTGCATGTGTGTATGTGTGTGTGGTGTGTCTATGTGTGCACGCGTGCATGCGTGTGAGTTTCTGCATGCTAATGTAATGCTGGTGGAGGTTAGACGAGGGTGCTGGATTCCCTGGACTCAGCTGCAGGCAGCTGTGGCCCCCTGATGTGACTGCTGGGAACCAAACTCAGGTCTCTGCAGGAGCAGGGTGTGCTCTTAACTGCTGAGCTGTCCTTCTAGTCCAGGCTGTCAACTACATAGACACATGCTCCAAAGTGACAAGAGTCTGCCTCAAGGACCCTCATGACCTCTCCAAAGAGAGCCCCCCCCCCAGGGAGGAAGGACATGAGAGCGAGGTAGAGAGAGACAGCTGCACAGAAGTTCATGGTTACGCTACCAATGGCATTCCTGGTAAACGGCCACTGGCAATGAGCCGAGATGCACCAGGGTGCCTAAGACTAGGAGGGCAAAGGAGAGAGGAGCCAGGAGGGAGCGAGGACAGCCCCAGCCGCTCTTCATACGGCTCAGCTACCTTCACTCCCTCCCGACTCACAACTGCGGGTGACCTTAACAATAGTACGTGTGCGCGTGTGCGCGCCGTGTGCATGTGTGTGTGTGCGCGTGTGCATACACGCCAAGGCACTAGTATGGAGGTCAGAGCACAGCGTGAACTCCGGTCACCAGGCTTGGAGGAAGGTCCACCTGCTGAGTCATCTCACCAGACACGCTGTAATAACCAAGGGACACGGTTCAAGTGTTGGGAGTGTAAACAACAGTGGACTTATTGAACTCCCAAGTTCACGCTGTAATCTAATATGCTGCCAGCAATTCATTACTGGGCTAAAGTTTCTCCCAAGTCACTGTTCATATTTTTTTTTTAAATCAAACCACATACACATGCAACCCTTAGACTTTATGCTCCTGACATATTTTACACATAATTATTTTTCTATCTAAACTAATGCTGTGTTGCCCTTCAGAAGTATGCTACAAACCTATGTGTTCTTCCTAGAAGAAACACTCTGCCTGAGTTCCCTGCCTATTAAAGGGTAAGATGATCTTGTGTCCTGTTAATTATTAAGTAATTAACACCTGCGAAGCTTCTGGTACATAGTAAACACCATCCTGCTAACTCCAAGTTATTACGAGTATAATAACCGCCTGAGCTTGACAGGACCGCCCAGCACTGTAGACGTCACTGCCCCTAATTTCTCTGCTGCTTCCCTTGAACCCCACTCTGTCTGCACAGATGGGGACAATGAGCTGACTGAGCCCAACCCCATGTCCCTTGGTTCATAAGTGACCTCGGTGGAAGGGCACGAGCTCCCACAACACACAGCTCACAGGAAGTGGTAGGACCCGGGCAGAGGCCTGGCTCTGTCTCACCTCTACGCTCAGGCTCTCTGCTCGGGTGCAGTCATCATCAGTCCCCCCCCCCCCCCGGGCTCCTCTTCAGCTCCTCTGTCTAACGCCTCTCCCCTCTGTGAACCCTGGAGGTACAGTGCCCAGAGTCCGGTCTTTGCGAGTCTCTTCTATGACTTGCTTGCTGGGCCAATCAATCTCAGTCACTGCCCACGGCACATCTTTACAATGACTCAGGACTACTGTAGCTGAGGCCTGGTGCCCGAACCCTGCAACTGGAACGCTACCTGCACCTCACACCTCCTCCCTAGATGGTCACTGCAATCTATACGGCCCCCCCCCCCCCCCCCCCCCGCCACTCTGCATTCTCCTCATCCAACTCTTCAGGAAACCTGTCGGTGCTGCGTGGGAATGTGTGGAGAAGCCTGGCACTTCTCATCATTTCCTGTCATTGAAGACAGAATGAGTGTGAGTGTGAGTGTGTGTGTGTGTGTGAGAGAGAGAGAGAGAGCACCAAGTGTGTCTGCTTTAAGTACAGGCCAGAAGAGGGCATCATACCCCCGAGAGTTGAACTTACAAACAAGCAACTGTGAGCTGCCTGTCATGGGTGCTAAGAACTGAGCTCAGATCCTCTGGATGAGGAACGAACACTCTGAGCTGCTGGAGCATCTCTGCAGCACCACAAGCTGGTCCTTAGGGGTTAGAAACTGCAGTTTCTAAACGGGTAATACCCGTTTCCAAATACAGACACACTCCCAAATCAGATGCCCAGGGTATGAAATTATGTTTCCTTACATAAGCTGACCACACCTCTACTTCGTCACTGTAGAGATCTGGAAACTGACTCGAAACTAAGCCTCTGCTCCTTCACTCGTCCAGTAATATCACTGAGGCTCACTGCTGGCAACTCAGCTTTTACAAGAGAAAAGTCAAAAGTATTCCTTTATTGAAAGCAAATCATTTCCTTAGTTAGTGAATCCCATAGACACTAGTGTGGAAAGACAGTCTTAAAAAGTTAAGGAGCTAGAGCGCTCTTCCAGATGGCCTGGGTTAGGTTCCCAGCGCCCATTTGGTGGCTCACAGCCATCTGTAACCCCAGTTCTAGGGAACTGATGGCTTCTGTGGCCTCCAAAGGCATCAACCTGGCAGGCATGTGTGCATAGACATACATGCAGGAGAACACCCACAGCAATGAGTACAACAATAAAAAAGTTGGAATAACCCGGCCTACCTGAGAAAGGCCACATAATAATATTAAACTCAAGGTAACAAATGGGAAACAAAGCCTAACCACATCTGAAAGTTCACGGAAAGGATACGTGACTGGCGATGTGTTCCCGATGATCCAATAAATCGATAAGTTCACCATGAAAGCGATTATTCCAGACAGCAGTACCATAAGCTACAAACGAACCAGGAGAATCATTACAACCAGGAATGTCTCATTAGGGATATGCAAAACTGCAAACTTCATCCATTTAAACAAGATGTCACAAGCTCATAACCCCTATTAGATAGATGCAGATGGGTCACTGCAAGTTTGAGTTTATGGACTTCCAGGCCAGTCAGAGCTGCAGAGCCAGAGAATGCCTCTAAACAAACACACAAACACACGTGACACACACACACACATCCTCAAAAAAAAAAAAAAATTAGAGAATCAACTTGGAGCTAGGTAGTGGTGGCTCACGCAGAGGCAGGGGGATCTCTGTGAGTTTGAGACCGGCCTGGTCTACAGAGTGAGTTCCAGGAGAGGCTCCAAAGCTACACAGAGAAACCCTGTCTCAAAAAACAAAGCCAAACCAAAATGAAACAAACAAACAAACAAACAAAAAAAAAAAAAAAAAAAAAAAAAGAAAAAAGAAAAAAGAAAAAAGGAAAGAAACTACTTGAAGATAACAGGCGTCATGATATGAGGATAACAGGCGTCACAATGGGGAGATTGCTCAGTGGTTAGAGCCTGAGGCCTGAGTTTCGGGGCCCAGAACTCAGGCAGAAGCTGGGAGTGGCCGTGTGTCTGTATTCCAACCTGGGAAGTGGAGGAGGAGGGTCCCTGGGGCTCGGGAGAGGCTCTGCTGTAAAACAAAGGTGAACAAGGAGGACACCAATGTCAACTTGTGGCCCCCACGCACAGGCACACATACCCCACACCCATACACACACAAGTCAGGACAACCAAAACCTATGTGCTCACACATCAATTCTCACAAATGACCTCCAGACAGCTGGATAAACCGCACCCCTTTCTTACAGCTCAGAGCACAGGAGGGTAGAGAGAATGAGTGGCCAGGACCACACTGCTGGCAAAGAACAGTATTAATATCCAGACCTGCTTTGTGCTCCTCACCCACGCTGGTTCCTGAGAGCTACAGCGTTGGTGGGCAACCAGACAGACAACAGGGTCTACGTGACACTCGAGGCAGGCGATCAGAACCAAAAGCTGGTAATGCGACATCTTAGGCTTCTGGGGTCTCCACTCTGTCCATATTTTATGCATATTCAAAATCTATCCAATGAGTATATAGTATTTATATGATACGAGGGCAGTGGTTTTACAATCCCTTTGTAAAAATATAAAATTGAAATACAATGCCCAAATTGTGTGTGGACTCTAGTTTGGCACGGACAGACAGGGAACCGGGCGCTGGAAAGTGTGAGCTGGAATCTGGTTTGCCGTGGTCCAGCTGTCTGAGGCTAGGCCAGTCCCTTCATTTTCCTGTGCCTGAGTTCCCTCATCTGAAGATAACCCTTACCTGGCCTCCTCGGAGAGTGAACAAGGGGTTAGGTGTGAGAACAGGGTTGACGTTGTGCTCTAAAATCCAAAAACCACCTTAGGAATGGAGTGACTGCCATCGTCTCTTAGAAACCAAAACAACCAGGACTTACCAAAGCAGAGACCGACCAGGGACCAAATATTCCTCCGTCTCCAAACACTGGCTCACAGAAGGGCACTGCCACCAGCAGCATGGCAGACGACATGGGCGCCTGGTAGTACAGCAGCTGCATGGAATTCACTTGGAGCTCATGCTGCTTGGCTCCTACCCACTGAAAATCGGGAGACAAGCCAAGTCAGAGGCAGGAGGAAAGCATGGCTCAGTCAAAGCCGCGCAGGGCCAGGCTTGGAGGACACAACACACCTCATTACCCTACAGGGCTTTAAAGAGTAGGGACACATGAGTGACCATGAGAATGTCAGATAAAGGAGCTCTGTGAACACGGTATATGACATGTTCTAAGTGGACCCCCAAGCGTGGCCTTAAAGGTGCGTGGACTTCAGAGCCACGTTAAAACCCCATCAGTGGCAGAAGACATTTCCCTCTCCAGAGAGCTCTTCTGTGGGTTGGGTTTCCCACATGCCGCCCACATATCTGGGCACGGCAGAGTGAACAGAAAACCTCAAAACCTCATATCTCATGGCCTCAAAATACTTGACAAACAGGAAGGGTCGGCAGTCTGAAGCAGATCTGGCATAGCCTGGCTTCTGGACCATCTCTGCAGACCCGTTTCCTAAGTCTAGGTATCTGTTACACGGAGCAAGTCTATAGGAATCCAGTAAGAACCAACTGGAGAAACAGGGAATCTGAACCACACTCCCGCCAGCCTCCACTAGAGTCCTCTGAGAATATAAAGGACAAAGAAGCGATTCCAAGGCCGCAGTCGGTGCAGGCTCACCTTCCCGCCCGCTGCCCTGCCCACCACACTCTTCACAATCTCCTTTGTTTCCTTTGTACCCTCCACTGCCACTAGAGCCACTGGTAAGGTTCGGCAAAGCCTCTTCCCAATTTTGTTGCTGGTGTCTGCAGAGTACAGACATTTCCTGAATGTCAGCAAGACTTTACCGCCCCGTTCAGGCCACTCAGCATCACCCTCCTACAGCACACCTACAGTCTAGCCTCACGAAACACACCGAGTTCTCCCCAAATGCTCTGTGCTTTCACACATATTAAAGGACCGGCCTCAATACTTCACAGCCGAGCAAGCATCCACATCTCCAGCTGCAATGAATTTTCCCTCTGGTCCAGCTGAGCCATTCCGAGTGCACAACTGCCATTTCTGTCACAGTGCCTCTCGGAACCTTCCTCAGCATGGAGGGACACTACCGAGGCTGGCTACGGACTGCCAAGTCTGCATGTGTGTCTTGAAGGGTAGGGTTACAGTTGCCTTTCCTCATCATGGGAGCCTAAAGGTGTCTGTCAAACAAAGAAGTCCACCGTTTCCCCAGCTAAGAGCTGAAGATGCTTCCTTCCACCTTCTCGTAATGTTCCCAGTTGCACCAGAACAAATAACTTAGAAACCAACTAGGATACGAGAAGCAAGTATATTGTTGAAAAGGAATCGCTCTCCCCACCCTTAAATGGGAAAGCTTGAACGCAGTCCCCCACTATTGACTATTATGTAGTCAAGTTTCCCGAACTTGGGGAAATCACTGGGTCGGCACTTCCAGAGTGCAATGGATAAGCTGCACCCTGGGAAAACCATCTTCGTGACCATGGTAGCTCCTAAAACGCATTTGTGTGCGTGTGCGTGTGTATTGTACTGTCTGTCTACCTATTCTGGCCTAGTACCTTTGCTGTTTATTGTGACAGAGCCTTTGTCCACTGGGTCTTTAGTCTTTCCTTGACCAACCTCCTTGCAAAACGCAGGGATACAGAACCTTTTGATTCTAATCTACAGCAAGTTAGAAAAACTTCAGTAACAAAAATGACCATAAAAATGGTGGGTGCTGTGAGCTGAGATTATGTACATGGAGTAAAAGAAACTCTAATATTTAACAAGTAGACTGGGTATGGTAACACATCCTTTAATCCCAGCACTTGGAAGGCACGCAGATCTCTGAGTTTCAGGCCAGCCAGAGCAACATAGTCCTGTCTCAAAACAAAAAACAAAAAAACAAACAAACAAAAAGAACAAACCAAAACAAACCAAAATCAACTACAACAAAAAGTAAAAAAGAGGGTCAGTGGGTAAAGGTCCCTGCTGCCAAAGTTCGATCCTAGGGACCCACGTGCTAGGAGAGAACAGACTCTGGCCTCTGAACATTGCCCTCTGAATGCATATGGTGACTGGCATGTGCATGCAGCCATACATACTGGTGCATATAGGTGCATATGCATTCCTACAAAATAGGAGAGCTGGGGATGTAGCCCAGTGGGTGCAAGGTCTTGGGTTTGAGCCCCAGAACAACAGCCTAGAAGTTTTGGTAGTTGCTGAAGTTGTTAGCTGGCTGGGTGAGTTGTAGCTCAGTGTACAGTGCATGCTTAGAATGCAAAAAGGCTGTGTGTCCAATCCTCAGCACCCCACCCCCAGGGATAGTAGATGTTTCTGGGAAATCACTACCAGTAAAAAGTAAGATGCTAGGGTGTAGTACTGAACAAACATTCCTAACCAGAATGCCTACCTTTATCACCTGCGGATACTTGTGGCAGAGTCGTTGTAACATTGGTTACATTTGGCTTTGATTCCCCAAGCAGGCACACCCAGAATTTCCAGACCACAGCTTTCAGTATAGAGAGAATACTGTTTCACTGTTCCCTAACCCTGTTATTTATTTCTCCCACTATACAGGACACAAAAACTAGCTTGTTGGGGATTTATGGTAATGATGTGACTCCATGAAAAAAGTTTAACTGCATCCTGGCTCCAGGCAAGGCATAACTGTGTTTGTACAAGAAGTTAAAAACCTAGAGACCACTCTATTGATCAGACAAATTGCTAAAAGCCAATCAGGGTTGTAACACCAACACGTCTTTTGAGTTTAAAGTTTTTACATATGATTTTTTCCCTCATGTTCAAATGTTTGGAAGTGTATGCATTTCTTAAGAGCAACTTTACACTTACAGAGTAAATGACAAATATAATTAACAAACTTATGAAGCAAACCCTTGTTGTTCATTTTGTAAAGAGTTCCCAGAAAAAAACAAAACAGAAAGCAAACTTGTCCCAAACTCTGATGGTTAAGCACTTACAAACAGGCATTTGGTGAGCATCACACCCCTAAGTTTCTCTGTCTCCTCTCTCCTCTTCACCAGGAGTTAGAACTTTATCAATTATGCTTTCTTCCCAACAGTTTATTGTCTCTATACTGTATTTTCTAAACCTTGGGATACAGCTTCAAAATTTACGAAATCTGCTAAAAAGGCACATAAAGAAAAAAAAATTACCAACCACTTGATAAAGGGATGTAACTAACACACCAAGGGCAGCGAACACCATTCCAAGGGAATGAAACTTCACATCGTAATAAGAATTTAGGATTACACCTACAGTTATAGGAATCTGTGAAGAAAAAGAGGCAAATGCTGTTGAGATTAAATTCAAGAACAGTTTCTTACAAAATTAACGAAACACATCTCTGGGGTACAGTGAACTGTATGTTTTCTTCGTTTGGGAAAACTGCCAATACCATATAAAATAATCTAATTCTCTGCAGACATTCACATACAACTCTACACCAGGGAGAAAAGAATGAATCCATGCATTGGGCTTTTTAAGGAAATTCTATGAGAATTTCCAGGTTAACTAAATGGACCCCCAAACTAGTACTTAACACATGAACTTAAACATGTAAAAAAGGAATACTAAGAAATACTAAAACCCACTAACTGCTAACGTTATATTAATGAATCTTTCATTTAAAGACACAGGCACTCCCAGCAGTATGCCCCTGAAGGCATATCCTGAGACATTTTACGCTAAACCATTTCATGGTTATCATTACGTGGTTCGATTCCCGGGGGGAGGAGGTGGGGGGGGTAGGAATTATTTTTTCCTTTCCAGGCTAAGCTTTTGCAGATACCCTGACATTTTCAACTGTACCATCTAAGTCAGCTTCCCCCCTCTCCGCCCCCTCACCAATCACAACATTTAATTTTCATCACATAGTTCTAAAACCCACAGGAACACACCCTTTACTAAGAGCCAGTTGAGTGCCAACACGGCTTTTTTCCACCCCTCTTGAAAATAACCCGGACCGTCACTATCTTACAGACTCGTGTGTAATTAGCCGCCGGGGCGCCAGGCTATAAGCAAGGTGCATTCAATTTTCCCGGGGAGCAAGGCAATCAGGTGGGTGGCCAGGGACGCGCTCGCGCAGCTGCAGCTACTCACCAGCGTGAGCTGTATTCGGATGGAGAAGCTCTTCTGGTACCAGAAGGTCTGGATGGCTATGATCACCGGCGTGGTCATGGCCTTGGCCAGCTGATAGGTGCCTATGGTGTTGTTCTGTAGAGAAAGGTTGGTGAAGACCACAAAGCCGCAGAAGCTGAGGGCCAGGAGGAGGAGCTTGGAGAGCGGCAGACTTTTGGGGGCGAAGATGTCCAGTTTCTGGCAGATGTATAAGCCCAGCCAGGTGATCACGAAGTGCACCAGGGTCAGGCTCATATTGGGGAAGCCGTGGTGTACATAGATCCATTTGTTGAGGAACACGATGCAGATGGACACCAGCAAGTTGAACAGGAGCCCGGCGGCGATGCGCCCGTTGCCCCGGACCCGGTCGGCCAGCGATGCCATGGTGCCCGCCGGCGGCGGAGCAGCACCCTCGGCCGAGCCCGGGCCGTCCAGCCTCCCCGCGGGGCGCCCGGCCGCTCTCCGGCTGCCCGGGCCCTCCCGCGCCGCGTGCCGCAGCCGCCCGCCTCACCGCGCGGCCGGAGACGGGCATGCGCCGGCAGGACCCGGCCGCGGCGCTCGCAGGCTGCGCTGCTTGGCCGCCGCCCCGGGAGCGGGAGCCGCTGCCCCTCCCGGCCCCGCCCCGCCCCGCCCGCGGGCCACGTGACCCCGCCCGCACTTCCGCCGCGCAGGCGCACTGGACACTTTGAACCCTCTGCAGACGGGGAAGTGTGACTTAGTGGACGCGTCTCTTCCAATAGCTTTAAAGAAGGAGTGGACAAGACAGTGCAGCCGTCATATACCCAGAATGCACATTGGAAAATATTTGGGCTTATTTGCCCCGAAAAACTTTAAACCACAAATTCGACATCTTTCACCCACAAATTCTGTGTAAGCCTACAAAGCGAGCAAGTACATTTTCCTGCAGGGCCAAGATACTATTTGCAAGTATGAGCTCCAACTTCGAAGTTTTGGAGTTGGAGAGGGTAAGTTTTGTGTGCGTTATTATTTGGAAATGAAAATTTGTATTTGTCAGTACTCTGGCATCTGTACGGGCCTGTCCTTGGGGTTCTGACAGGATACGTCCTCAACCTCAGCTGCAGCCACTAAAAGCACCGCCTGTGCACATTCACTACGTCCTTTTTTTTTTTTTTTTTTAATTTTTCGAGAGAGGGTTTTTGTGTAGCTCTGGCTGTCCTGGAATTCGCAGCCTGGCCTCGAATTCAGAGAGCTCTGCCTGCCTGTCTTCTGAGTGCTGGGATTAAAGGCGTGTGCCATCACCTCCCTGCAACCAAGTTCCCTTTTTATAAGAGCCCTGCCCACCTTCCATTTTTCTCTCTCTGCTTTTCCCTCCCACTCCTCCCTCAGAGACCAGTCTCCCCTCTCCCTCAATAAAATACCCTGCCACCCAAGCTGTCACACACACCACTTTTTTAAAATTACAGCATTCAGTTTGTTTTTCTCAACTTTGACTGATTCTTTGTGGAATTTACATCATGCACTTTGATCCCTTTTGTCTGGGATCAGAAGGTTCTTTTATTACCCACATGTATACTCATTTCTTCTGCTATTTTTTTTTTGAACACTATGTAAAACCTTTTTATCTTGAAAAAAATGTAAAGGCAAGTTGAAAGTTTAGTGTGATAACACACCGCTCAGTCCTTTAGACTGCTCCTGCTTTGCCACGTTGCTTTAACTGTGCATTCCTAAGGATGGGAGAGGGCACTTCCCTACATTGCCACAATGCCAATGGTCACACCTAGGAAAACTAGTATTGTTTCAACAATACTACTACATAACCTGTTTCTAGAATTTAAAGAAGATTTTTAATCATGTGTGTTTTTGCACATAAATGAAGGAGCTCTTGCCAGAGGGGTTGGACAGTCTGAAGGAGTAACAAATGATTGTGCTTATGGCCCATGTGGGCACTGGGCTCAGTTTTACTTTCATGCAGTTGTTCTGATTGAAATGCATCTCTGTTCATCATTCTATGTGCCTGGTGCTCAGAGGCCAAAAGATCATCTGGCACTGGAGTTACAGATGGCTGTGAGCTGCCGTGTGGGTGCTGAGAAGTGAATCTGGGCCCTCTGGAAAAGCGGTCAGTGCTCTTAACTGCTGAGCCCTCTCTCCAGCTCCACTGGAAAATGCTCTTGCTAGATCCATCTTTACTATTCAGAAAAGTACTACATTTTATAATAATGAGAAATTACTTACCTGGTTTGAAAAACGAATCTATTCTTCATTCTCTTTAAATTTTAATATGTCAGAAACTTATGATTACAGGGAAACATAATATTGAATTTGTTCTATTACAAAAGAGAAAACTAGCATTTATAGAACAAAAAATTTATTTTGTATAGTTTCATTAAAAAATACTTAAAGAAATACTGATATAATACAAAATTCAAATGCCTAAATTTTACATTCCCCCCCAAAATGCGAAAGGAAAACAGCCAATAATTACAAATATGTATAGTTGAACAAAACCAAGCAACCAAGCAACGCTCCGGTGCCTGGGGCATCAGAGAGGAGATGAGCTATGACTGAACGTCATACCCGAGTGGGTCAAGCCCCTGGTCCAGAAGCATCAGAGAGGATTCCCTCAACTTCCGCAGCAGCTTCCTCAGCTCTTCCTTAGAAAATACCTGCCGTCCAAAGTGAGGGAGAGTTAAAGGCGGGACTGTCAAGTTTAACAAAATCCAATCAGTCTCAGAAGGTCTATGTGGCCTGAGGATCTGTGTAGCTCAGAGACCTCGTGCTGATTTTCAGGGCAGACTATATACTTCCATTCATACACAGAGGCAACTTTTTAAAAAGTACACTAAAATTGGAACATTGTTCTCAGAAAATGCAAGAACTAAAAAAGTGTAAACAAGCATTCCCAAACATTATCAGGCAAGCACATCAAATGTTAAAACTGCCAATGGTCCAGAACTCACCAGGTACAGTTTGTGGCGCTCAGAGGACACCATGTCGGCTAGCTGTAGGCACTCCTGGTACTGCCCAGTGCTGTGCAATATTGTGTGAAGCAGAAAACAGAGCATGGGCAGACAGAGCTTTCTTAGTAAAACCATCTGATGAGTTCTTTCAGGGTCTTCCTCAGCATCCTACACACAGACATCAAGTCATCGTTTCAACAACTTTAAGAGGCACACCCTTACAAACAGAGAAGTCAACTACAGCAAGGTCCGGTGGCTCACACTGGCGTCCCAAACCCCAGCACTCAAGAGGCCGAGGCAACTTCAAGTTCAGGCAAGCCTAATCTATACAGTATGTCAGCCTGCTACAGAGGTCCTGTGTCAAAAATATAAATCACCACCACCAAAACCAAAAGGCCAGATTTAACTAACATCAAATGGAGAATACTTCCCAGAAAAGACTGCATATGTACTAAGCAGGAATAGTTTCCTTTCCTGTTATTATTTGCTAAGCGGTACTGTACAGCAACTGTTTAGATAGCATTTATACAAGAATGGGTATAGGTGATCTTAAGAAAATTTACAGACCAGGAGGATGTGTGAGGGTTACATGAAAATATCACGCATGTCATTTTATATAACAAAAAGGAGCAATCTTGTATCTACCAGGTCTTAGAATCAATGCCCCATATGGTTGCTGGGAATCAAACCCTGGTCCTCTGGAAGAGTAGCCAGTGCTCTTAACCAGGGAGCCATCTCTCCAGCCCTTTCATTTATATTTTTAAAGATGTACTTTATTTGGGGTGTGTGTGTGTGTGTGTGTGTGTGTGTGTGTGTGTGACATGTGAATGGCTGCCTGGGGAGGGCAGGTGGTTGAGCTGCCTGACGTGAGTGCCAAGGGCCAAGGTTGGTCTTCTGGAAGGGCAATGCCCTTAATTGCTGACCCACCTCTCAGTATAGTAAAATACTCAGTCATGGCTTTCCATCTCTCAAGAGATTCCAGAATATTTGATAGTTTTTGTTATCTAATCTAAAATTAACAAATAATCAAAATTACAAAATATTTATATATCAATATAATCCTCAAGTTTTGGTATTTTACAACATTTGGATCTTACTTCCGACACAAGGCCGAATCAGAAGAGAGAGGTTTGGCCTAAGGAACCCATCAAACACTGAAGTCTGCAGACACAAAGCTGAGTTAGCATTCTGTCATGGCCAGGATCCCGCCTTGCTGTGGTTTCAGTGTGAAATGTCTCTCATAGATGCAAAGTGTTTGAGTGCTGGGTCCCCAGAGGGTGGAGCTGTTTAGGAATGTTCTGGAAGCTTTAGGGAGGTGGAGGTTTAAAGTGGGTGACAGGGTGAGGAGTGAGGGCTTGAGGTTTCTAGCCTGACCACAGGCCTTCCTTCCTGACTGCAGACATGTCAGCTGCCTCTCACACTCCTGCCAAGACTGCAACTCTCAAAGCGCCGTCCAAACAGACCCACCCTCCCCTGCCCGGCCCCTCCCCTGCCCGGTTTCTCAGGAGCCATTTGGTCCCATTAGGTGGGCATGTGTATAACTGCAGGTGGTCCTGAGGTCTGAGACAGCATACCAACCTGACAACGACGGTCACAGCTAGCAACAAGGATGGGGGGGGGGGTGAGCAAGGAGAGGAAAGGGATCATTTTCTTACACAATTAAAAGAATGGGAAAGGATAAATACGAGAGGGAAGGCAGAAGAAGACATCAGAAACACTACAAGCAAAGTAACTGACGCCGGCCTCGGTACCTCTCCCTTGTGAGCAGCGCCTTGTCTGTCTTCCTCTTCCTCATCTCATCCCACAGCACTTTCACTATTTACTCAACGCTCTCACAAGTGCTGCACCTCTAAGCACCCTGTCCAGACCCCTTACGGTAAGAGCGACCTTGTTTTTCCTTTACTGATGACATGCTGTGCGTCCAGCCCAGGGCTCCACCCTGCCAAGCCTGTGCTCACCAGTGCTGCCCACAGGCAGACCCATCTCTTCATCTGGACTCACAACAAAATCTGCTGTGCTTAATTCTCTCCTGGGGAGGAACAGTCAACCCTGATCTTGACCCCTAATCCTCATGCTTCAGCCCCCTAAACGTTGGGGTGACAGACATAAGCCACCCTGGCTTATGCCATTTAATACATGAGCAGCTCATTCTCACTCTGGAAGCCGGTATTTAAGGAAGAACATGCCATGTCTTCTAAGTGGCTAGTTCACAGGGATGCGGTGAATTGAACTCAGGACCTCTGGAAGAGCACAAAGTGCTCCTAACTGCTGAGCCATCTCTCCAGCCCTCTTAATCTTATTTTTAAAGCTATAAACAAAACACGTAACTTACCTCTCTGACGTCTACCATCCATCCTCCATCAACAAACAACAGGACGTTGTACATTTTCTCCTTTACATCAGCAGTGAGGGCATCCAAATGTCCTTTCCAAATGCTGTAGTCCATCTGCAGAACAAACCCAAGCAGCTGTCATGGACCCAACTACATCCCTCTTGTTTATTTTGTCCTTTAACACAGCGATCCTCTGTGTGACAACTCTGGCTGTCCCGGAACTCGCTCC